GCCATTAGACAGCAGAAGGAAGAGGCGTCAGCGTACCCTTTTCCATCCCTGACAGGTACTTTGCTTGATGGAGGGGCAGGAGCCTGAAGCATCAACAGCTTTCCCTGCGTCCTCCTCCTCTGCTCTGTCAGCTGGTACTTCTGCAAATGGAGGACGGAGAAGAAAAACCAGTGTTGAGAAGTCCCAGGTTTCACATCTGGGGAGTCAAAGTCGCTGTCCCCGATCTGCGTCAAATGGTCAGTGAAGAGCGTTTTAAGACAATATCCAACAAGTAGTTTACGCCTCCTTTTTCGTATCAAAGATCATCCTTCCTCCTGGGGTGGGACGGGGCACTCCTCCAGCTTCTCTCCTTCTTTTGAAGTAGGGCATCCGTTCAGGAGTTTTGGGGATCCTTCCAATGGCCAGACCGGCGGGATGTCGGATTTTGCGTGGTTGGGGGTGGGCCGCCGATGGCAAACCTTCTGGTGAGGAGCCCTGCGCAGGGGCGGGGACTCTGGTTCCAGGGCCAAGGAGGGGGGCGCTAACGAAGTACACAAACAAGACACACGTTTAAAAAGGATCAAGATGTCAAACACCTTGTTTACAGTGCTCCTACTTTATGGATGATTCTACCATTGTGTGAAATCAACCATCCTTACCAGTGACGAGCAGGAGACCACTTGAGAGCTGCTTCAGGAAAACCACACGCTAAACAAAAGAGAAGTACAGTTAGTATTAAGGTAATGTATTCAGAGTTTGCACACAAGGCTACCAATTGCTTCATCGACCACAACATTAAATATTTAGTAAATGGGCAGCTAATCAACTGAAGTAATGAGCTCAGAAAAGACTAAAAACAGGCAGCTATTAATTTGTCTTACACACCATTTGTGAATAAGACAAATTAATAGCTGCAATCCACTCCCATGCCAACCTATTTAGACAGGGGGGGAATAAACCTACTTGACACACACCTCGTCTTATCGAGAGGGCTCTCTGCCTGTCAGTTTCATAGCTGAAACATTATTTAGGTCAGCCACTGCTCAAAGTGTGTGTGGGCACACTTGCATGCTTCCATAACTTGCCCATGTAGCGTTTGAGTGTGGGAGGGAGGGACAATGTCTGTGGTGCTGAGGGTGTGATTATAGTGATGTGTCCAGCATGCTGGCTATTTTCATGCACAGTAAAGGATGCACCACTGATATCTGCAGGGCCAGTATCTTCTGATAATGGCTCTTATTGTAAAACTGATTGTGAGGAACAGCTCTGATGTTGCCAAGAGTTGTATCTCAGTTCAGGAAAGACGACAAATCCACCATGATTACAAAATATACTGCCAGTGTTGTGTTAAAAACAAGGCATTAAGAGACACAGCTGAAGAATGGCAGAATGTCCCTCATCTTCTCCTGAGAGCATAATAGAGGCTGTAACATTTCTATTTTCAAACGTTAATTGTACTCCATCGTCAAAAATGTTTAACTATCCTGATTTAAACTACTAGTTCACCCATAAAACTGGAAATCAGTGTTGATTCTGTTTACATCTGCCAGTGTATGGATATCAATCACTAAGATGCAATTATTTATGTTTAGAGTGCAAACAGTAATAATTTGATGCTCTCGTCTCCTCCTCTGCAGCAGACCTTTATTGGTTTCTTAATTCCACACTCATATGATTTTGATTCTTTCCCAGTTCAGCAGGGCCTCTCTCTCTGACTTTTTGACTCAGGAGGGGAGGTGAGACTTTGGCGCCAGGAAGGCTCCTCTCAAGGGAGTCTGTTTCTTTTTGCATTCACAGATTGGATCTCTAGGTGTCAATCTTCCTATCCTCTTGTTTGAACAATGACTCCTCCACAGATCAGAACGACACCGCGACACCCCAGGGGCTTTGGCGTTCCAAGCACTCTGGAAGTTAGGAAACCGTTCGGTTTCTTAACCAGATGTGTGATAATTAAGTGCCTTTTTGCCCTTGTAAATTTAGCGACCCAGGATAGCCCTTGGAATGTGGTTACATCTCTTGTCTGGATCTTGCGACAGAACTCACCTCCCAGAGAAGAAAAGGCCCTCTGGAATCCACCCATCTGGCATTTCTGCTCGCCCTTCTCCTAAAGTGTGAATTCACGATTTTTTTTCTTTGGTGTAGGGCCGTGGTTGCTCCCAGTCCCCAGCGCAGAAGACAACACTTACATTGCATATCGATTTAAGTCCTGATTAAGTACTTAAGGTAAATTTCATCTTTCAAAATGAACAGATTGCTCATCCAGCAGCAGAAGGTTGCAAAATGTAATGTTTTTCTAGGCCTGGTTTTAAATTTGCTGAATGCTTTTGGGGTTGGAGCCACATGCCCCTTTTGTTAAGTTTCCGGTATAGGGTTAAAACGGACTTTGTTTTTTATAATTGGTGTTTTATTTCAAATAAGTAAATGGCCCTGACACTACCTGTGCACTGCCCGCTACAACTAATTTAGGTTAACATATATAACTGTATGTCCTTGCTCTGGGCCAGGTTTGTTTGCTTGATGGTTGGAAAATTCGATGAATTGGGTGTAAAGAAATCACTACTTCAGAATATGAGATTGAATATAGATTTTGAAATTGAATAAATTGATTTAAAATTGATTTGATTAGATTTTTGGAATAATTTCCTCCGGATCATTACAGTAGCTACGGAGATGGTGCCCCATTTACGAGTGTATTATTAATCACCAGTGATTAATTACCTTTATTATTAAGTAGTATAACCCCTTACACCATGACTATGTCACTCAATTGAATCCATCAGTCCTTAACGCTGAACATTAAATTATAAAACTGGTCAGAAATCTGATGAAATGTGGCCAGGTTGATCACAAGCAGCTGATGTTAATCTACATAACGTCACACATTCCTACTTTTGGTGCAGACAGGAAGTTAAAAGACAAAACAACAGTCGGAGAACTTCCTTGTTGTTGACACGTAATGTCAACACATACAGGCCATATACAGACAGACAGACTTTAGTGTTCAGTGTAGAAACCAGCAGGAATAAACCACTTATTAAAAACTTGATGCTCTGCTCCGATGGTGGCTTTAACCTTTTAAACTTTCCTCAATATCTACAAGTCCTGAAGATATCTTCAGAGTTCTCTCTCATAGTTTTGTATTTTTAGAGCTCCGCACTTTAATCTCTTTTATGAGTCAGACCTTGAATTGAATCCTCCTACAGCTTCTTTTCTTTGCCTCCCTACCTGTCAGATGAAAGCAGCTGCATTTTATTTTCATTAACTTTTTCCTTGTTGACTGGAATCTTCCAAAGTTATCTTCAGGAGGTGACGTCTGTGTGCTCGCCCACAAATGTTTAATTAACAACGTAAGAGTCTGAAGAGATCTGACAAGGCTATTGATTATTATATTTTAATACAGATATATACGTATTCATCATTTTACTAGTTTAGGTATAGCCTGTGGTTGCAGTACGTCGTCTACAGTTGTTTACATCAGTCACCTTTTCGCTAAAAATAACTGTTGATACTGTTTGGATTGTTGTTGTTGTTGTTGTTGTTGTTGTAGAAGGTTAAAACATTGATGGGACGTACAGTTTGTTCTGAAATGTCTTTCTTTGTCTGAGGACGGACAGGAAATGACTCCATGATGAAACCCAGCTGGATCGGACACAGGAAGTGCTTTATTCCAAAATAAGGAAACATTGAAGTCCCGATCAGGCCTCATGTTTATTCTAGATAACCAAAGGGGGGGTTGGGGAATGAGGGGGGGTCTCACTTTGTTACTGTCATTTATTTTTTTTTATTTTTTTATACAATACTACATTGATGAATATTTTATAATAATAATGTGAAACATGTTTTTGTTCAATCACAGAACATAATGATTGGTGTCTCCAGTTATTTTATATTATATACTTTTAATAATACATCACCATTTTTTATCTGAATATTATTTAACGAGGTAATAATAAAATCACCAAAATATCACAAAATAATTTAATAAAAATAAGGTCACACACATTGGCACCCTAACAATGGTTGCATGAAAAAACATCCTGAACAAAGGAGCCCAAAAGATCAGCTTTCTGTGAGCGATGAGACACACTACAGTTATTTTACAGATCTTCTGTATTTCTTGTTTTCTCAACAGAAGTTGAATTGATTGACATCAAAAGACACCCAGAGGATGAATCCAAATGACTTTCGTGATCCTCTGACTTTTCCTGTAGCGCCACCAGCAGGTTGACAGCGGTGCTTTTGAGTGAAATGTCTCAACTATTGGATGACGTTAGCAAATGTTAGCATGATAAACCTCAGCATGTTAGCGTCGTCATTCTGAGCTGGTTAGCATGCTGACATTAGCCTTTAGCTCAAAGCATAGGTACCACCTCACAGAGCTGCTAGCACAGCTGAAGACTCCCTAACTTTAACCTTGATTGTTGCTTATTTATCAGAGAGTGTGAGCCGACACACTCGGCTTTCACCCAGCTCCACTAAAAATTGCTCACAGATCCACACAGTTCAGACACAGGCAGCAGGAGAAAAGCTCTTCCTGCTGATCCTTTTTAACTTCTTTGCTGCAGAAGAGGCGACACCCCGCTTTATCCCATGAACACATAATTCATGAGGTTATTATGAAGATCAGCTGTACGTGTGATTAGAAATGAGCAGAGGCGCAGGTTTGTTGACCACTGCAGAGAAATGCGCTTCTGATATACACATCCAGGCTCACGCTTGGGCTAATTAACAATAAATGGGTAGCGTGGGATTGATCCTGGTGACACACACAGTGATACCAGGGACAGGCAAACGCATAATGGAGCCAAACTCGAGTGAATATTGAGTGGGATGGAGCGAGAGATGAGGAGTCGCTCCAACTTAAAACTTCGGCTCCACACTCCATCAAAGATCCTCCCGCTCTCTGCTCCGCTCACATGGTGTTATTTAGTCATGAATGTTTAATGTGGAAGAAGAATGAAACATCTGCAAGAGTAAAGCCGCAGTATATGGTACAGGGAGGACAAAGAAAGGAAATATATTTTAAGTAAAATTCTGGTTGGTTCTCATTTTAGTGGTTTTGTTAATCCTTGTTATCAGCTCAGACACACATCCAGCAGCCATTTATATAACCAGATGTTTATACAGTTGGTTGAAAAGGCTCTGCTCTTTGAGGAGGCTCTTAAAGAATCCAAGCAGCAGAACGGATCCTGCTGGATCTCATTAACAAACACAAACATGAACATTAGATCTTAATCAGAATCAACAACACCAAATATTTAGCCCATAAGGGGGAGGTTGAGAAGCAGCTGCAGCAGTGCTGGTACGAGTGTATCAGCAGAGTCATACTGAGAAGTATAAAGTTATTAAGGCAGCCTGCATGAATATAATTGGACTTTATTAGTCAGCTGGTTGCCAAACAGCTGAAAATGTATGAAACAACTGATGATTTAATGCAAGCACAATTATTATTATTTTTGATTTACAGCAAAAACAAAATAAACCAGAATGATCCTTTTACAACGGTCACACTCACCTTGTAAAAGATGGAGAAGTTACTGTAAGTCGCGAGGACGCTGGTCAGGACGCCGTTACAGAAGTCTCCATTTCCAATATAACCAGCAGAACACACACAGGAAACATCTGCACACACACACACATACACATACATTAGTTAGATGTGTCTGTGACCAGTAGCAGGTGGAAGAGGAATAAACTGTGATTAATATAATATTTATGTATCTGCAGTTTACTTGAATTGCAGCTCAGAGGCCCAAATCATTTAAATTATTAGATTTTTGCTGAAACTATTTGTCAACTAAAATGGCACTCAGAGAGCGCAGACCCCCTTCAAGGTCCTCTGTCCTCCTCCCTCTGCTGCTGTTGTGATTCACGGCCTGCAGTTGCGGCTGGGAGAGAGACAGATTAGAGAGAGGAGGGGATGGTGTGTAGGGAGGCTAAGTTGAAAGGAATCTGCCAAATTTTAAAATATGTGGAAAACTGAGATAACTAAATTATTTTAGATTAGATTTCATTAAGGTTTGTTCAGAACAATTCGCTATTAGCTTAAAGATCTGGTGTGTTGAAAAAGGAAATAATTATGTAATCATGTATGTTTGTACCACTAACCATAGGTGTGAAGTCTGAGGGGTACCTTTCTGTAACAGCGACTACCATAAGAATAACTATGACTATAATTTCTATTATTTAAGTAAATATTTAAGAATTTGCAAGGCCATGCATGCTTAGGGACGTTTTCTGCTAGTCTTACATCTTAAATCATTAAATTTAATTTAAATCCTTTGTCCACAGCTGTCAGACAATTTCTAAAACTAAGACACCGTAGTCATATAATTAAGTATTCATTATATTATATATTATTTGACATTAACACAGGACTGTTAAACTTATTGTAATTCAGATGTTTGTGTGTGTTTATGTGACCAATGTGGATTTTTTATTTAGGATTCAGTCATGTATTACTAAGAGTTGAGCGTTTAATTTCATATATATAATTGTGTTTGTGACATGAAAGAAGCTTTTAATTATGAATGAAACCTGAAGAATTGACCTGACTAACAGTTGAAGTGTCTCACATAATCACAGCGGTACAATCATAGTGAAATATGAGAGAGGGGGAGTGGGGTCTTATCAGAAGAACTGTGTTTTTCAGACTCAATCAGAGGATTGGGAGCACTTGTGTACCTCCACATTATTTTCACTTTCCTGTTAAAAGGCGAGACAGAGCGCAGTGGGCAGCTGCACACACAAAGAAAATAAGTCATTTATTAATTTAATCCGCGCAAAAGATTTGAGAGAATAAAAAGACAAAAAATGTAACTCTAGGCCAAGCTGTGTTTTGAGATAATTGCATAAACGTAAACTTAATTATTATAGCGCAACCTTGAGGTCAATGAGTGGAATTTTATGTGTCTGAGTAGTGGGTGGAATTTAAAACACCACCCGCCAGTTTCTGTGATTCTAAGTCTTATGGTTTTTGCTACACGAACACTTTTAGAGGAGAACAGAAGACTATTGCTATGACAGAAGTTACCACCATGTCTCTGCCCTATAGCGGCCTCCCTAAAGACTTAATGGTTGCCAGTAAACACCTCAACTCATCCAGATTGGTACACAGATCCCCTTTCTAGTTCTTCTTCTGGCCATTCAAAATGAGTGCGTGACATTTGGTAACAAGTCCTCAAGATTTGTCAAGTCACCTTTGTATGTTTGGCCTTTATGGGTTCAGATAAAAACTGAGCCAAACACTTCGACTTCGCAGCAGAAGCATGTCGGTCTGCTATCGGGTGAGGAAACACAAATCAATTGTGTTGCCTTGGATTTTACAGGAGGTACTTGACAAGCAGTGGCAACAAGGCTCGGCTTTCTGCTTTTGGGCAAGATGCAACACTGGCAAGACAGCGAGGTGAGAAAGCATCTCCTGATTTAAGGGGAAGAGGAAATAAGGAGACTTTCTCCAGCACTGACACTATGCAACAACATAGTGTCAGTGCTGAGTGAAAGAGGCATTGCTTGCAGGCCAAGGCAAATAACAACTGCTGCTTTCTACTGTTTAATAACCCTGTTTTTAAAAATGAAGGCAAACACGTCTACTGGCAATTGGGAAAGGATTCAATCACCTATTTTAGCAGGTTTGCTGCATATAAGCGCTAATTTTGGTGAAAAGGGGTGTAAAAGGTTGTAAAAGGGTGTAAAAGGTTCTACGTCTTACCCAGATATCGAAGCCACAGCAAGATTTTACAGACAATAAAATTACTCTTTGGATTATTTTATCTTTGAATCAATTCAAAGAGACTGAACACATCCATCTTCTCCTCCCTTCCTCTCTTTGTTACACACACACACAC